CCAGATTTTAACCAGACTCAGTCCAGACTTTTACCAGACTCAATCCTGACTAAACCCAGACTCAATCCTGACTAAACCCAGACTCAGTCCAGATTTTAACCAGACTCAGTCCAGACTTTTACCAGACTCAATCCTGACTAAACCCAGACTCAATCCAGACTTTCACCAGACTGTAGCCAGACTCAATCCAGATTTTAATCAGCCTTTAACCAGACTCAATTCGGACTTTAACCAGACTTAATCCAGATTTTAACCAGACTCAATGCCAACTAAACCCATACTCTATCCAGACTCAATCCAGATATTAACCAGACTCAATCCGGACTTTAACCAATTAAAGAAACTGTCGTAAACAGTTGAGCTGAAACCAGACCCAACACTTGTTCCGGTTTTTGTTTCAGAAGCAGAGCACAAAGTCGGACCCCCTTCCCTCTAATCCCACAGCCTCCTCGGTGACCGAAGTCCCCATGCCGCCGCCCCCCGCCCCCTTCAGGCTCCCCACGCCACCGCTGCCACCTCTGGCATCTGAGCCCCTCCCACCGAGCAGCGGCCGGCAGAACGGCAGCCCCTCCCCTGTGCCCACCCGTGGTGTTGTGAAGGACCCGAGCAGCCAGGGGGAGACCACCACCACCAACACCACCACCAGCACCACCAGCAGCAGCGGTGAGTTTGGTTCTGACAGAGTCTTCTGAAGCAACCAGAACAGTTTTACTACATTCAGTAAAATGTTTTTCAGAATAAATGCTGTTTCCTGTTCTGACAACAGGAAGTGATGTTTGTGTGCTCGCCCCCTGCAGGCAGGAAGTCCAACATGGAGGAGGTTCAGGACGAGCTGGCCCACAGGCTGACTTTGGGTCGCAGCGCTCAGAAGAAGATCCAGGTCCCGACCCGCTCCAGCTCCGGCAGCCTGTCCCCACCTGGCATCACCTATGACTCGTCTCCGCAGGAAGTCCGGGCCTGGCTGGAGGCCAAAGGCTTCAGCCCCGTGTGAGTCTCTGTGCTTTTATTGTGACGAGCCACAGGAAGTGGTGGGCTCTTATTGTGGCGGTGTGTGTCTGCAGAACTGTCAGCAGCCTGGGGGTTCTGACTGGAGCTCAGCTCTTCTCTCTGAACAAAGAGGAACTGAAGACAGTTTGTCCCGACGACGGAGCGCGCGTCTTCAGTCAGGTGACCGTCCAGAAGGCGGCGCTGGAGGTGAGACTTCCTGTTTGACCGTTTCCACTTCCTGTTTAAACTCTGACAGACTTTTAGAGCAAAACAGAAGATACAAACACTCCAGGACAGGAGCAGACAAACTTCAGAATAAAACTGCAAGTTAAAATAAAACAAAATTTTATATTTATGTATTTAAAAACTGTTGTTTTAAACTCAAAAGTTCTTAGTAAAAC